TCACACAACATCCCAGACCTAACAATTGTTGATAAGAAAAACAAAAAAGTCTAGATAGTAAACATTGCAATACCTGGAGACAGCAGAATAGAAGAGAAAGAACTGGAGAAAATCACAAAATATAAAGACCTGCAGATAGAAGTAGAACGACTACGGCAAAAGAAAGCAAAGATAGCACCAATAGTAACAGGCACCTTGGGTGTAATCCCATAACATCTAAAGTCACCTGTCACACAACATCCCAGACCTAACAATTGTTGATAAGAAAAACAAAAAAGTCTAGATAGTAAACATTGCAATACCTGGAGACAGCAGAATAGAAGAGAAAGAACTGGAGAAAATCACAAAATATAAAGACCTGCAGATAGAAGTAGAACGACTACGGCAAAAGAAAGCAAAGATAGCACCAATAGTAACAGGCACCTTGGGTGTAATCCCATAACATCTAAAGTGCTACTTGAAGACTATCGGCATTGACAAAATCACCATCAGTCAATTGCAAAAGGCAGCTTTTCTTGGAACAGCTTACATCCTGTGACGATACCTTTAACACTATCAAACATCATCTGCCTATCCCAGGTCCTTGGGAGGGACTTGATAGGTGGATAAAAATGCCAAATCCAGTCTAAACAACTGGCTGACTGTGTAACCAACCAACCATCATCATCATCATCACCATTATCATCATCGTCATTTATCCCAATTCAGTTTATCTAATCAAGAAAAAAAAAATAATTTAAAGATGTTGCTTCCTTTAATTGTAAACTTACAACATACAACTATTTTGGTAAGAAATTATTAATATGTAATTGTAGAATTTTAGGTCCTTAAAGAGAATATAGATTGTCCATATAGGATACCAAGTAAAGAGGAATAAAATAACAGAATTCTGAAGAATTGGAGAAAGATGATAATGGAAACAAGGTGGTGTTCATAGTGCCAGAACAATGAAGAACTGGCATTATAAAGCAAGAATCAAAATTCTTTCTGGTAAATTAGTGGATTGATTTTACTATGAATATACAACATAAGAGAAAAATTTCTGAAAATAGAGGCAGAGAGATTATTTAAGTAGCTCTTGGATGATTTTCTTTATTATTCGTGTTGTCCTTGTAAAGTGAGAGTCTCAAATTGATCTGTTGAGGATATAGTAAGTGCAGTTCAGAACTTAGTCATATAGTCAAACTCTTTAAATGCAGTTAAAATCTCAGCCCTAAACGAATTCTGATTAAGCTAAGTGGAAATGGGTGAAGCATCCATCTTTATTTTATACCAAATTTCTAAATGTGGAAGAAAAAACATTTGTTCTTGGCAGCATTAATAGTGTGGGAATATTTCTGTTTGCCACAATAATATTGTGGGACATTTTATCTGCTATAATAAAGTATGTGTGATTTGAATGAGGCTCTTTCAGGAATATTATTCTGTAGATACCATAGATGTTTCACATCATCGTAAAGGATTTCTTTTACATAAAAAAGCTGGGTATCTGTTTTCAAAGTTCAGCACAATTAATATTACCTAGTTTTTGAATTATCTAGTTGGTCTCTCTGTTGCATTTAGTAAGATGCCACATTGACCATCTGAGTATTTCATGTTTCTATACAGTGTTTCTGATCAGACTGTCTTATTTGTACTCCTTCACTGCAGTGTCTCTTGCACCACCACCTCCCTCCATCCTACAGGTAACTCCTCAGTTACCATTAATGGGATTTGTGGCCAGAGTTCAGGAAAATAGTAAGTTTGCCTTTTTATTGATCTGTGACTTGAGTAGATACCTTTCAGTTTTTTGTTCTTACCTTAAATAACCTGTATATACTAACTTGACTGATCTCTGGGTAACAGGCAATTTTGTATGGCCATGCCATTCTATTCACGCCTAATCTGGTAGAAGTTCCATGTTTAGATATGTTGATCAGATTTATCTGGTAAATTCTGCCCAAATTTTCAGGCAGCAGCTAAGACATAGCATGTGTTGCTCTAGTCTTTTTTGTCTGAAAATAGGGTAACCCCCTCTCTACCCTGGCCTGTGTTAGAGCAAGCTACCTTCTGCCTTTCAGATAGTGCTGGGTTATAAATGACATAATCCTTGATGCTAATAGGTTTCAGTATTTGGTGGATACCAACTTATTTGATTATCTCCATTAAACAGATTACCTACATTAGAAGGAGGGAAGCAAAGGAAGCTTGCAAATTCTTGGCTACAAGAGAATCTACACAAATGTGATGTATATAGGTAGCTCTCACTATCTGCAGCCTCATTATGCACAAGTTTGTGTATTTGTGGTTTTACTCATCAGTAAAAGTTTTGAAAGATGAAGAAACATTTGAACCATAATCTCTAGGCAGCTCTGTATCTCCACTTTGGGTTTTATGTATAAAATAAACTGGACAAATATGTCCTGTTATTTTTTATGTTATTTATGTAAACATTTAACTCAAGAAACTTGAATATGAATGTTTATTCTTTAGTTTCAGACACACCTCCCCCTCCACCCCCTGTAGACGAAGCTGTTTTTGATGAATCTCCACCGCCGCCCCCTCCTCCAGAAGATTATGAAGAAGAAGAAGCAGCTGTGGTGGAATACAGCGATCCTTATGCTGAAGAGGATCCACCATGGGCACCAAGAACCTACTTGGAGAAAGGTTAGTTGGCTGGAAGTAGGAGTGGAAGTCTGTCTCACTCATTGGGTCTGAATTCATGCAGTACTGATTATACTGATGTCTTTTTATCCTGAGAACTTGAGATTTACAGGTTCTCTACATTTTGCCAAATAATAGCACAAGGGGAGTATTTTGCTTCCTTGTGCTGTGTCTCAAAGTGTGACTTATGGCGTGATAACAAAATAAAATTGCTATTAGCCATCTCCACCTTCTCTTAAACGAAAAGTTACTGGCTTCCTTATCCAAGAACCCCAAGCCACATCCAGATATGAATGTGGATTAAAAATCTCGTTTTCTGCATTCAGTTTTTAAAAATGATTTCTATGCCTGTCATTAATAACTGTTGATCATGTTCCATATCATGTGTGTGTCATGTGAAGTACAGGTGATCCTCGACTTACAATGGTAATTGGGACTGGAATTTCTGTCGATAAGCAGTGCAGTCATAAAGCGCAACCACATCACTTAACAATGGCAATCCCTGCAGTCCCGGTTGCCGTTATTAACTGAATCTCATGGTCGTTAGGCGATGCAACTTCCTGCCGGCTTCTCACAGCCAAAGTCAGTGGAGAAGCTGGCAGGAAGTTGCAAGTCCCAGGCCTGCAGGCAGGTAAGTGGCTGCTGCTGGGTAGGGGAGGGAGCGAGGGCGTGCACGAGGGTCAGGGAGAGTGTGTGAGGGTGTGAAAAGGTATGAAGAGGTGCTGTGTGGGTTGGGGAGGGTGTGAAGGAGTGCATGAAGGTGTGGTGCGGGTCAGGGAGGGTACGTGAGGGTGTGTGAGAGGCACGGTTGGGGAGGGTGTGTGGGGATGTGCGAGTGGCTGGCACAATGTGAGTGCAGAGGAGATGGGGCAGGGTGCATGGGTGGGGGAGATTACCCCAGGGACTTGTGACCTTCTGTGCCAGCTTCCCCACTGACTTTCTGGGGAAGCTGGCAGGAAAGGTTGCAAATGGCCATGATGTGATCGCAGGGCGCTTGGCAACCGGTCGTAAATGTGAATGGGTTGCCAAGCACCTAGATTGTGATCACATGACTGTGGGGGTACTGGGATGGCCAGAACTCTGAGAATTGCTTGTAACCATAATTTGTTCAGCGCCGTTGTAACTTCAAATGGTCGTAGGTTGAGGACTACCTGTATAGTATTTTTTTTTTTTTTTTGGTTCCTTTGAGTCAGTGTTGACTCCTGGCAGCTGCCTGGACAGGTTCTTGCAGGGTTTTTTTGCAAGATTTTTGGGAGTAGTTTGCCACTGCCTGCTTCTTAGGGCTGAGAGAGAGTGACTGGCCCAAGGTCAACAGCTGGCTTTGTGCCTAAGGCGGGACTAGAACTCACAGTCTCCCGGTTTCTAGCCTGACACCTTAGCCACTACACCAAACTGGCTCTATAGTATTATTATTAGTTATTTGAATTAGATTCCTGGAGAAATGCATTTTTGTTATATTTTCTAGCATCCTGTATTTCCTAGGAGATATTAGAATGCGAGTTAAGGAAAACCACAGGGACATAATATGTGGTTTTTATTCCTTTTGATAGTCATAACTAAGCACTTACTCAATTTTCCACTTTTTCCTAGAAAGGAAAGAAATGAAGTTTGTTCATGAAGGAATTCTTTTAGTCATTACGTTGCAGAATTTTTTTTAGCCTGGTTTATATGCACGAGCTCCATGTGCCTGTATATAGCTCCTGACTGTTTTTTTATCACTCATTTTGAGTGAGTGAATATAGAAGCAGGAACCTACAGTTAATCATTTTGTGGGAATTATGTTTTATACTTTCAAGCAAATCAAAGTTTGGAAGCCAACTTTAAAGCACAGATTATCTTCTGAATACTGCTCAATTAATATCCATGTTTGGTATTTGGGCACAAGGCAAAGAGTTTTTTGAAAAGTTGTCCACTAAATCATTTTAGTGCTTTAATAAATTCATATTCTGAGGGTGATATTAATGTGATTTTATAGATTTTATATTATATGACTGATTTAATGTTTGTTTTATTCTGTTCTTCATTATTTGTTTCATTTTGTATTTATGCTTTTAATTTATTTGTATGCCATCCCATAGACCTGTGGGTATTCTTTAAAAGTTTGATAAACAAAATAATTATTTGACATGGCCAACTGATATTCTCAGCTTAAGCATAATGTAAAACTAATTTTGGCCTCTTCTGTTTGATTCTTATTAAATGAAGCAGTGAAATTTGTATCATAACTGAGGAACTCTGTGTGCATTCAACCATATGAGAAATAGAGTTGCATACAGCTGCCAAAGCATTGTTAGCAATCCTGCACTACGTACCCTGAAAAATCAGTGTTAAAGGGAAGCTGTTGCCCCATCAGTGGACAGTTTTGAGGAATGGGTCACTTAATAATATAATGTGCTGTCTCCTAATTCTTTTTGTTTAGAATTCCATCATTTTAGAATCAAATATGTGTATATGTCTACATGTTTTACAATTTTGTGTTCACCTGTTTCTGTAAATGGGAAGAAACTTTTAAATGAGTAATCAATAAAGAAAATGCCTATGTTTTGAGAAGAGAGACCACTTAACTGAAAATTGTAATTGCCTTCTGCCCAACTGCTTGCTTGAAATCCTAATTTTGTTTTTCTCCTTATTCCTAGTGGTGGCAATTTATGATTACACTAAAGACAAGGAAGATGAACTTTCCTTTCAGGAAGGTGCCATCATCTACGTCATTAAGAAAAATGATGATGGGTGGTATGAAGGTGTGATGAATGGAGTAACTGGACTCTTCCCTGGAAACTATGTGGAGTCCATCATGCACTACTCGGAATGAAGACCACTGTGGCAAGAGGCAGAACCAGGAGATTGTTGGGCTGCCCAGGTCCCACTGGCAGCTTGGAGGAACCTGGGCAACTGAAGGAAGGAAGGATCATTGTAACGAAACCACTCCCCTTCCCCCCTTTTTATAAAATGGTGATTTGAATTGTTTTGAAGAATGGCTCTTCCATTTGCCAGCAGCGGCCAAGCTGAATGACTAATATTAATGAGCTGACTGATCGACATGTAGATACAGAGATGTAATGAACTTGCCAGTGAAGTGATCCATTACTCAAATTGAGACCCATTCAATCAAAATATGGGATTTTTTTTCTCAGGAATACCAAGCCTGGTATTGGGGCATCTTGGATGCCAGCGCTGAAGGCTTTGATAGGCTATCTGCCATCTCTTCCCCCCTCCCTGTTCTGCACATATTACTGTTGGATGTGTGTTATTGTACTGGCAAACATTCTGAGGTCACAGACCAACTGGATCTCAGCTTGGTTCCTTACATCTCTAATAAAGCAATTCTGCAATTGTTTTTCACATATAGCTTGATCTAGGCATGTAAGGAGCTGTTTTTTTTCCTCTTACAGGAGGATGTGACATCAGAGATAATCTCCCAATATATTGAGCCTTCCAAGTCATAAACTGGGCCTCTTTTGTATCATTAAATTATTTTTAAAGAGTTGGACTAAAGATCATGAGGGACGATAAAGCGTGACATTTTAAAAATGGCCTCTGTCCTTCATATAATTATAGCTCTCTGTGGCCAGCCTTATTCAGCCCCCAGTATGCAAAATATTTGTGAAATGGTTTAAACCTGGCCTCCTGACAGTGTTCAAAAACTGCTTTCAATCAGGCTTTAGCCCTGGTTGTTTTCACAAAGGCTGGCAGCAGCCTTCTAAAATTACCTCATGTTTTATAATTTGGGAGTTAGAAAGGGACAGAATTAAGTATTTTATAGAGAAAGGCTTAGTCTGAATTGATTAGCATGCTTCAGCTGAAGATAGCCTGTTCAGCTCAGAATAAGTGTATACCAGTGAGATTGACCCTTCGTTCTATTTCGGATTTTGATACATATTAGGAAGGACCTGTGTAAGCAGACAAAGATTGCCCAAAGATTTCCAAGGGCTGTTGGTTTTCTCTGAATGCTAATTTAGCAAAAGCTTTAGCTGCTTTTTCTTCCATCAGTAAATATGTGGGTGATTTTCCAACATGTGAATGGAAATCTGCTATAATGACTTCAGGCATTTTAGCAGCCAACTAGAGGATATACAAAATATTTTTTATTTTTGCTAACTAGCAGTCATGGAGCTATCAGGTTCAGGCATGAAGTAAGGTGGGAGAGTGTGAACTCTTTTCTATACTGTAAACCATAGTCCTTATGAAGCTTGCTTTTGCTTAGCTGCTATTTTTACGCCGGTAGCAGCTGAATTGGGGGGTTTATGAGAAGAACCTGAAGGGTTTTTCATTAGTTCTGTGGTGTATTGTGGGAAATTAAACCTACCTGTGTACCACAATCCCAGTCTAATTCCTCCATGCTGATTAACGAAATAAAAGTTCCTCCAGATAACAGAATAAGATATTTCTTTTAAAAAGGCATTAAAACATTTCATATTCCTTCTTCTTACTCTTAGTTGGATTGTACTGACTTGTTGGGTATATTGCTCAAAATAATGTTTCAGTAATCATGTACTTGGAACACTGATTGTAGTAGTCAGCCTTCCTTTCTCACATAAGCTAGCCATAAATTTACTAACCGCTTTCTGAGTTATACAGATTATGTTGGTGTAGCTTCTGTGGCTTCCTCTGTTGCTTATTTGTGCCATTAATAAACCTCAGGTGCTACCAAAAGTCATTAACTTGGCATCGATTGTTGTAGCTCCCCTTGGTAGGACTGCTAATGAGATCCAAGTCCCTTCAGAGATTGCTATTTCAAAACTAGAAGCCCACTGTGATAATGTTTATTGTCACTGGCATCCCAAAAAAGCAAGATGATGATCAAAGCTGCACCCCTTTTGTAAGTGTGTCGATGTTGTACAGGTACGGAGGGGTGGGAGTTCAGTTGCATTGCTGTGACCACCTTCTTGCCTTTCTTGGCACCCCATCCCCAGCAGATGCCAATGCTTATAGCGTAGGATAAGGGTCACTGAGAACTGGCTTGTTTGAAGGCATCCAGATTTGATTTGTCTAGGAGGGGTGGTGTCTCTGAAAATTGGTTGTATCTGTGGGTGTTGGAGTACTGGAGCCAGCTTCTTGCATAAACACTAGACCTCCAGATGAGAATATGAGCTATGAGGGCCTGATCTATTAGGACAAAGGATAGTAGATTTCTACAAAGGCCCGAGTATGGTTATGCATACAGGTATTACTGTGTAATATCTTTTATGTGTGGTGTTAAGGTGTACAACCTTGAGACACAGCCTACTTTATGAAGATGGGGATGCAGCCTCCATCAATATGCTTGTCATAAGTAGCTGCCACTGCTCCATGGGGACCCAGCTAAGAGAAGATCCTGCTCTAAGAAGTTGAACGTGCAATTTTAATACTTTTTTGGAGCATAATTCTGCTTCAAAGACTGTTCATCAGTGGTATCCTGCTTTCTCCTGAGTTTTATAGAGCCTGCCAAGAGGATGAGCAAAAAAGATCAGGGCTTTTGGCAAATTATTCTGGACAAATTTTGTGGAGTTCTGTAGACTCAGTTCTGAAAAACTAGGTTAACATTTGCCCTTTTAAACATGTGTGTTGTGCCTGCAGGCTATGAGTTGTATTGCAAACAATTTTTAGTGTGGGTAACCTGAGCTGCAGATGATTAGAAAAGCAGCATAACAACACAGCTTGTTTGAGTTTCCTCTCTCCCAACTTTATTTTTCATATTCTGTTTTTTTGCCATTACTGATGAACTTATCTTATGGTACTGTGCTTTTTATGGTTCCATCAACTTTTGAAGAGCACCTTTTTCCTGCCCAACTATCCTATTTTCCTTTTCCAGAAACAGGTTGCCTTAACAATCCTTCACATCTGGTGTCTTCTCTGCTGTTCTGGGAAATGTCATATTTGTTTTTGGTTATTGAATATTAATATTGAAAAATCAATAATGTGAATTCTTAACTCTGTCTCTTTGCAAAGCCGAATCCACCAAGTTTTATTCCAAGAACAAATACATACTGGAGAAGTTGGATGATGATTCAATGGCAGAACATAAATTGAATCCTGACTGTTTCCTGGCTATGAAAATAGTTGGAGGGGGTTTGCGTTTTTATCAATAGCATTTTTGTGTTTTTCCTATTTAAAAATGCTTTCAGCTTCACATGATTTTTATAAGGCGCTACTCAGTTGCTTGTCTGGGGAGAGACTGTACAGCTTCTATGGAAGGCAGGGCCACAATTCCCCATAAGAGTTTGGAGCTCTTTGATTGTATGACTGCTCCCTGCATCCTTCACAGGCCAAGATCATCTTCCTGTAAACTGCTGCAGAGGGTGTTTACAGATTCCTTGCCTCCTGCTGGTTTAATGCTTTTATTCTGCAATACTAATGTTGTGAAAAAAAAAATCCTTGGATTTTATGCTTATTTTTTATTTTGTACAATTTTGAATTCTGTAGAATGTCTATGGATGATGCTATGTACAAGGCCCAAAGTAATCAGACTCTGTGTGTATGTAATGTTGCATAGACTGCATGTTATATCAAGACAGTGAGAGTGGTTTTTCAAATACCATTTATTATTTCCCCCAATTTTTTTCACTAGTGTTTAATTAAGAAAAAGGGGTGAAGAGGGAGGGCCTGGGAAACTGGATTCCTCCCTTGTATCCCCTTTCCCCAAATCTTGCTATCAAGTTATTAAATATGTTGAACATTCCACATTCTGTTTCAATATCTTGTGGGGAAAAACACGTAGTGGGGAGATAAAAAAGAGCTCAGTGTCAAATTATTTAGTTTTTCTTTCTTCATAAAATGGCTTTGATTACTTCAGCACTCATTTTTCCAACCATGCAGTTATGGCACATGTACCCACATTTTCTTCGTGAACATTCCCCTGCTTCTTTTAGAGACCAACATTTGTTTGCTATGGTATGAGTGAGCAGCTCATGGTCTGAGCCCCCACCATTTTGAGACCATGCTGTCAAAATTCAGAAGCAAAATGGCTGAATTTAAGATGGGGTTTCCCCAAATTAAGGGTGGGAATGAATGGAAGTGAGAAGCATAATGATCCCAACTCTACCTTTCCACCCTCAACATCCTCCCAAATGGTGATTTGGGCACATTATGTAGGGCCTTGGATATATTGAGGGCAAGGATAGGAGCAATTCACCTCTCCTGCTCTTATTTCCACAGATCAAAGCTCTTGGCTCTGCCCTTTCTGGGAGAACACCAGATGGCTCCTCTAGCCCTCCAGAAGGTTGGAAAGCTGAGCTTTGGCCCTGAGCCTTCAAATATTGCTGTATTGGAGGGTCAGATCTTTCCATACAGGAAACTACTTTTTGTCTAGCATATGAACAATAATCTGGTGCCTTCAGGCCTAAGGATTGTCTTTTCCAGGGGCTTTCTTTGCTCTCCTTCAGTAGAAATTAAAGAATTTCTTTTCCTCATTTGAGAGTTAGCATCATATTACAGGTGGAAGAGGCAAAGGGTATGGCCTGCAGTCTATTATATCGTTTAGCTGCTCTTTTGCTTGAATTTTACATGGTTTATAAGGATGGCCCAGAGAAGATGTGAATACTCTTGAAGTATTGCTTATGGGTTTGTTGTTTTACCTTGGTTAAACTGGCAATAATTGGAAGGGACAAGGAGAATTTAATGAGAAAAGTTTTGCAAAGGTCTTACTGCCATATTGAAATTCTTCAAACTACAAATAATCAGTGTGGAGAGAATTAAAGTCCTGTGAGTGGATGATCTTTGTTCAGTGTGGTTTTGTAGTTGTGGCCCCATTGCATCTCGAAGAATACTCGATAGTCCCCTTGTCTTTTTTTTTTAGCCTTGCATGCAAGCCTTGGAAGACAAGCTTGTCAGCTGAAGTCTATAATGGCAGATCTTTTATCACAGAGCAATGTAAAAATACTGGCTAAACTGCCTGCTTTTCAGAAGATTTGGAAGGGAACAAACAGGCAGCTGCTTGCCTTGTACATAACTAGCTCTGTATGTTTTTTTCTAATAAAAAAGATCAAGGGAATGATTGTCAACTCATTCTCTTTAAAAAAAAATCTTTATCTAGATCACCTTTTATTTTGGAAAGTGAAAATTCTGTGTGATCTCTAACAGGTAAGCTTTTGTTAGGAGGGAGGGAGGTCTAACCTTTACAGGTTGTGATGTGGTTTACACTTTATTTTTTCTCATTTATCCCTGATTTTGGTGTGGAATGAAAAATGAAGCGTTAAACTTTCTCACATAAGAAAAAGGACTTAAAATGTGTTTCTGGTGTACAGGACTGTAGGCATGCTTTGCTAGAGAAAAATCAAAGGTATAGTTAGGTTAGATGGTTTTGCACAGCTCCAGAAGTTAAAATGTAAAGGAAATGAAGTGTGTTGAATCAGTAACAACAGCATGTCTTCCAGTTTTGGGTTGTTGGAGCAACCTTTGTTCATAGCAGTATTTGAAAATGTCATCAATGAAGGGAATGATGATCTAGATAGTATGATTAAATTAGCTATGTAATGACAGATTTTGAGCTTCGATACATAAATCTGCAAAAGTTGACATGCCAGATTAGAAAAATATAGAAATTCTCTATGATAATGGATTTCTCAGAGATTATATGTGATTCCTGTCCAACATACATAGTATTCTGTATCACTTTCACTGGACAGGGGGTACTGCAGTATAGAAACACAAGGTGATGTTGCCCAAATCAAAGGTCTTAGAGTGGTGCATTTTTTTTTTATATGCTGAACTTGACAAATGAGTCCCATAGGAAATTCAGAGGAGCTGTTAGGTGTACCTATGAAGAGAATTTGTAAAGTCTTCTATACCTAATAATGTGTGTATACCAGATCAGTGGCAATGCTAAAATCCATGCTATAGAAGAATGGTGCCTTTTTTCCCTAGTGCAGCTAAATAGGCAGCAATTCAGGGCAAAAAATGTCGTGACCAGTCCTGCCTGGGCCCGGAGTGTGAACTTTATGCAGTACTATTGCTCTTTTGCTCATAGATTCCATTATGTTCTTCATATACTACATGGGAAATAGCACAGAGTGGTTTCAGTGGGAGTCTTCCTGAAGATTTCTGGCTGAGATTTCATAAAAACTAGGTGCTGTTTTTCAAATATTGAATTATGTGCCTCGTTGCTTGTGTGGCAAGCCTCATTTGCTATCATATAAGAAATAGACATTTGATTTAAAATGAGGCACTTTACCAGTAGTGGCCATGGGCTCTGAGCTCTTACAGTATCCCAGTAGGTTGAGAACAGTGTGGGATTTTAGGGAAGGATGCGTTGCTGGTTGTTTTATTGTGTGTACCATTAAACCATTGGGGGGGTGGGGTGGGGAGGAGACATAAATTTTTAATTTTTTTAAAATTGTATTTGGAATTAACTGTTGCTGTGTACTAAACCCTCTTGTTACGAGTCCTAATAAATAAATAAATAAATCCCCCAAAACTTGCACTGCCCTCCTGACAGTTGTCTTGAACTTTTCCATGACTTATTGTGCACTTAAAGTATTACTAGACTTAAAACCTATTGGTTTCTGGCTTCTTATATGTGCATCTCTTTTTAGTAGTCCAAGAATTAAAATGAAGGCTCTCATAAATATTTTAAGTCTAAAAATAGTATGATGTGTGCTTGTAAACACTGTTGTCCTTAAAGAGAGTTTGGAAGAGGAAGAAATTAGATGTAGTGAACTGCCAACCTAGGGTGTGGTCAGTGTACTTCTGACATAGGTTCATCGGTTTGAATATTTGCATGAACAGGCTGGTGCACAGTAGCTACCTGAAAGTCATCAGCTACAGGTAGTTTTCTGATGCTGTGCTGTACTAGCATATCACCTCTAAAACAGTTATGCCTAAGACCTGACTAAAGCAGGCTAATTATTAAATACTGTTGTCCAGATTGTCAGCTATTTGGTATCAGCTGTTTTCTTTACAATGTGTGCACAAGAAATGAACAGTGACAGTATTTTATACTTAAGTAAAAGCACTTGTTAGTGGGGTTGCACAGTCTCTATCCTGTGCTATTTTTGTTTTGGGGATACCTAAATATAGGTGTATAAATATCAGGGCATTTCCAAAAATCACATTCCCTTTGATACAAGATAATAAAAAACTAAGCTAATTTAATTTCCTTGGAGATTATCCTACTAAGGAATTCCAAATGCCAAGTTGAGACCGTGTCTGTTATTAGGCCAGCTGAAGGTTTGGAGGTGGTGCAGAGAGTAGGACACTGATACACAGCAGATGAGGTCAGTGTTTTGTGGGGTTAGAACACACAACCTGAGGCCTAGGATGTAACCCCAGAACCTTTCCAAGTTGCAGCTAAATTATATTAATTGCATTCAACTTATTTCAAATGCTATTACATGTTTGTCCGGTCACTTCACATTTCTGTCTGTGGGCCCCATCTGTTTTGAAGTGAGGTGCCTACCCAGAGGCTAGATGTGTCCTCAGTTACAAAATGGTTGCAAGCTTTCACATTTCCAGGAGCTTCATCAGGCAAAATATTCTCCCCAATATGATTAGGAAGAAGATATTAGTATTCCATGTTTAGAAATCTAAAATTCAACATTGGTGAGAATCATAGATCCCTTGGCAGATAGAAAGTTGGGGATAATTTAAGGTATTGTCCTAGATAAAAGAGTGAATGGAAGCCAATTCAGGTAAGCATCTAGTGATTGATGGACTAGAACCTGCAGAAAATGCACTCCTAGCATTGCTATTATAAATTCTTCATGTGGTGAATCCTACTGGTGAAAAGCCAAAGTAATTAAGATGATATTAAGGTTTAATGCTCATTGTGAATGGTTAAAGAGTATACTGAAATGGTTAAATGCACAATCAACTCAGATACTGTGGCTGAGCAACTGATTCAGTATTTGCAATGTATAATATACAGAATTACTTGAGTGTTGAGAATGTATACTAAAAAAATTTAAATGGCTGTAAAAATAAAGTATTTTACCAGATTCATTAACAGATCTGATAGTTCAGAGATAAACAGCACATGCTTTGCATGTAGTCCATCTTAGATTTGATAGTGCCAGATTCTGCATGGATAAATTATCTGGCCCGCCACAAGGCAAATTCTTACGTTCGTGCAAGCAAGATCATATGTAAGCTTCTATTTAGTGTTAACAAAGTAAACGTAGGGGAGGGGTTAGTGTATGCATTTGGGTATGTGCACTTAGAGAAAGGCTTCTGAGCCTTCCAATTCTAGATCAGGGGTGACTGCATGCAATCCCCTGCCCTGTTTTTGGAAAGAGAACACATTCAGTGAAGATCATAAATTTTGTAAGCATTTTAGATATGTGTTTCCCCATATTTGGAGGGGGTGGGGGTATAAAATATATTAAACCTCGGGGGGGTTTAAGTTAAGTTAGTACTAAAAGAACCCCTCCTCTCAAAAAAGACTAAGTGTGCAGGCTCATCCCCTCCCATGATGTTGACACTTAACTGTTGGAGGAAAACATGTCCCTCTCTCTGCTGCAATCTTGGTTGGCTAAATACGTTTCATGATTCATTAATTTATATACTGCCTTTCCTCATTAAACCCAGAGCAATGTCTAAGAACTGTAGCACTGCCTACAAGAATTTTCAATCAATAGAAACTGAAACCTGCACACATTTTAAACATTCTGAGCAACCTGGAATATCGGGGTGGATAAGCTATGGCTATCTAGTCCTTGCTAAACTTCCAATACCAGAAGATCCAGCTGAATGGCCAAAGAAAGGGGAGAACTGCTTGAACATCTAAAAGTTGAGTGCTCAAACATCCTTTCACCATGTGGAAATTCCTCAACCTGTACAGTATTACAGCAAAGTCTTTTACTGTTCATTTTGAGCTGTACGGGGGTGGGGGCTGATTTCTATGCACAAGCTAGCTGATACCAGCAGTGATGCTTTGTTTCTATTTTTCAGAGATTTATGCAGCAAATAATGCTACAGCCTCCTTGATCAGCTTGCTGCCCTACCTGCTTTTCTGTTATTGAAACTAAACTTGAATATTGTAGAATGCAGTATTAATTCACCATCTCTGATGAAGGAACCTGTCTAAATTTTTTTCTTGGAATCTTCATATGAAAGAATATACAACATTCCTGAATACTGGTGGGCAGTTTTGCCAGATAGATGCCTTCTAAAGCAGAGGCAAATTATCTCGAGACAATCTCAGACAAATTTAACTATATCTTTATTGACTTGTGCATATTCCATTGTATAATGATTTCTTAGTACTTTCCATGAATGCATTTTTCTTTACCCATGCTTTAAAAAAGTATATTTATACATATTTATAGAATATTTATATAGAACAGCTCTTCTCAACCATAAGTTTTTACTTGCAATGAACTTTCATTCTTGAAAGAATATGGGGAGGCAGTCCCATTCAGAAAGAATGTGCAATTTTTTTTTCCTGTAAAGCGGTAAACATATGGATATATTTACAGCACATAGCACACATTGGCTACACAGACAAAATCATTGCTATAACATTGGTGGTTTACATGTGCATAATCAGATACAAGAATCACCACCATTGACTCCGTCCAATGGCTGCAACACAAATAAAATGTTCTTTCTCACAATTTACAATCCTAAAATTTACAATTACAAAATAGGAAAAGCAGGGAAAAGCAGACTAGTGTTGACCTCACCCATTTTCTGATGGCAAAAATACAAAGATGTGGGGATAGAGTATGTCGCAGCACAGTCACAAATAGGTATCTTAGAATGATGCACCCCACAGTAAAACAAAGGCAATACACATTCCGATCAGAAACCTTGTTTTCCAAAACTTTTGTACTGTGGCCTGAATTTGTGAAGATGTAAGCAGTCCTTGAGAGAACCACCACAGGCTATCCTATTTTTCTTTGGTAGACAAGGTCATCCCCAATATTATGGGGCTATCCTATTCACTGTTGAGAGCATGTCTATAAAGCATGTCTATAAAATCTCTCTTAACCTCTCCAATCTACACATTCTGATTTCCACCAGGCAGAGTAGCCCAGGCATTACAACAATGCAAGAAAATACTATATGAGCCAGATGCTCCTTCCTGTCATGTTTGCCAAACTTCTGTGAACTTTGAATGTACAAGCTGGGGAAGAATATAGTATCTATAGTTGGTTGAAGGGGGGAACCCCCCCCCAATTTTAAGTGAGCCCTACATTGAGGGAGCAGATACCTAATAACATTTTTTACATCACATAAGACTGCAGATCACTGAAATGGTTGACTATCTAATGATAACTTCCATAATCATAATGGCAAACTTATTATGGTTTAACAAAATGAGATCTATAGTTTTAGATGAAAATCAGTTCAGCTGCAATGTATCATAGGACCAAACCATCCATCCATGTAATTTAGAGGTATACACACACACATGGAGTACACACACACACAGACTTAGTAAATAGTAGGAGAGAGAGAATTGTGATGAACAACTTTCCTGTCCATGGTCCTCAGCCCAACTGTGGGCAGCCACAGGGATTGATACCAATTCCCCTTGGCCTTGCTTCCACTTTAAGTGAACACAATCCTTTCAAATTTAATAGAGTTTGGCCCTATTTTAAAAATATTTTTAGCTTTTATACATTTTCAAGAATCATTCAGAAGAATAATTTATTAATAAGTTTAGAGGGTATATAGAAGTCACTTAAAAATACTGTGAAGAACTATTTCATATTATTATTATTATTATTATTATTAGACAATAGCTATGTATTTTAGATGTACCTGCTTGCAGAATAAAAGGATTATAACCAGAAATTTGCTTTTGGGTCTAACCTTGTTTAAATCTGAAACCCAATTTACATCCTTTAAGAATTAAATCTTTAAGGACAAAAGGCTTTTCAAATTGTATGAACCAAAAAGAAAAAAGAAAAAAAGGAAATGCCAATAGAAATGAGATTGTTTATTCAGCAAAAGGTGAATTAGCCATTAATTGAGCCATTAATTAAATTACTCAGAACATTCTTCTCATTATATTTTAGATATTTAACCATCTCTGGGTTAAATATTCTTACCTTATTTTTAACTTCTCAGTTTGGAAGTCTAATAAGATATGCCATAATCCCATGGGTCAGAGCCTTTGGGGGAAATTTTTGAAGAAAACTGTAGCCCTGAGGTATAGGTATTAAACCTATTTAGCATCCTAATTCAAAAACCAAGTATGAATGCTTGAACAGTCTGATACAATATGGAACTGAGACCTCTGGAAAGAAATTACAGATATACCAGGTCAGGGCAATGACTGTAATGGAAAATGCAGGCTACCTATTCGATTCAAAACCGATCAACCTGATGCCGCCCTGTGATGCTTCACCGCTTCTCAGATACTTAACCAAAAGCCCTTGAGAAGGGTTGAAAAGGGTAAGAGCCATAAGGGCAGAAACGGTGATGCACTAAGCCGGAGGAGATTAGCCAAAAGGGGTAAAGAAAGTACCTCAAGACACCTCGTTATGTTGGTAAAAGATGCAAACCTCACTAGAGAGAGAAAGCGTAGGAACCTACCTGCAAAATGGGAGCATCCAGGAAAGAAAGTTCTACATTAATCTCTTTTTTAAAAGACCAAAGGCCTGTAGAAGGGCATCCCCTGGCTCCTGCTGCCTGGGTCAAATTCTGTATCGACATCTGTGGGGCACATAACCTGATGGCCTCAGACATTTAACTCGTGTAGAAGGATTTTTGTCACAGGCAGGTACTAGGTTTTTTTTTGCATTTGACACTATTTCGTCATGGTTAGTGAACCCAGGCTGTGCCTCAACCCTCCCTGTCTCCGAAGGAACATGAAAGGTCCAAGGAAGAAGGTGAACCACCTCTTTGCCTCACGGCACCTCCCTCATTCCTATCACTCAGCTTGGTACCCCCCAAAACGAGGCATTCTCCTCCAGAGCCAGTCACTGGCTCCAGCAGCAGCAGCAGCAGCAGCAGCAGGAGGGACGCAAAGGCAGAGCACCAACGCCTTCTCAAGAAAAAAAAATAAACACCATACTGTAAGACGTAAGCCAAATATAACATGTTAAAGTACACTAATGCAAATGTGGTTAATAGCTAAGGACACTTTATAATTCCAAATGCTCTGACAGATACAAAAAAAGTGCCTTCTAATAGCAGTGCTTTAAAAATGCACAAAATGGTGTATTATTATTGCTCAGGTAAAGTATTCTCAAATAGGAAAAATATGCCCAGGACACACAGGACACATCTGGGGCAGAGCAAATCATCCACTAGGATTTCAGCATTAGATGACGTAGCACCACTTTCCTGTTGTTAGGATCATTTTTGACCTAAGTTCTACAAAGGAAAAAAAAAAAAGTCACCTTTTCTTACTTCTTTCTAGGGCAAACACTTCCTGAATGAATCCTCTCTTCATAATTCAAGCAGAAGTCCAGGTGTTTGTGTGTCAGTGTGTGTACATACTTGAAATGACTAATCTTCAGAAGTAACTTTTGGTACACACAAACACTTAAAATATTTAGACGAGGCTGTGCTAACCTTTGGGGGTTCAAACTCAAACTAGTAACTACAGGTCCCCTTTTAAACCAGTGATGTTGCCTTCATGATCCATCAGTTACAACTGCCAATATAAAAAGACATTTTTACAATCCACTGTATTGGACAGCACATGCACAGTAATGATTTTAAGTTATTTTATGCATCCTATGATATTTCTGGTTAAATAGTGTTTCTGTAATTAGCATTTGACTTACCCACAAATCTTGGTATGAAGAAGAGCTATTTCACTTAAATCCCACAAATCAATGAGATGGCTGAAACCAATGCTTCTCAGTTTTTATACCCAAATGCACATCAACCCTGCCCCTTCAACACAATGCTACGGTTGCTTGTCCAGATACTTTCCTTTGATTTAAGCTGTGTCCCCCATGGTGTTCATCTGCCACGTTCTTTTCTCCTCTGGAGCATCCTGACTATCTCCTGTTGGAATGCCCAAAGAATTCTTCTTTTTAAAAGTTTGTGACAATGAGGGCAATATTTGCATGTGTAATTAAGTTTCATTCTGAAGAGAGAGAGACAGATGCACCCACTATGTGTAAACTTGCACACTGGCAATTTGATGAGCAGCACCATGTATCCAGTTAAGAGAGACTGTGGTCAGACATGACGGCAGCACGTCTAGAGTGCCTTCTGATACACAACGTTCACTTAACCAAAACAGACATGTAAGTGAAAAAGAATTAAACGTTGTGCATCACATACAGCATCACCAGTCCAAATCATTCCATTGAGGGTTTGGGGATTGATGATGCTCTGTTTCAAATGCACAATATTTTGCTATGTTCAATTCGTTATACATTCCTCCTTAGAACGTGTGCCTAAAATGCTAGGTTTACAGTCAAATCCTATGCATGTTTACTCAGGAGAATGTCCCGCTATATTTTAAGGGGCTTATTCCCTTAAGAATTATAGAACAGAATGCCTTTATTACCCAATATATTTAACTGCAGCCCCATTGTACAGCACTTTTCTTTTCTATATATGGATTTATATTTCAGTAGTATTGCAACCAGAATGTTTTGGTAGACTGTGTCTGAATTTTTCAATCAATTGATTCTGCAGAGAGACTGACGGAATTGGTCAGCCCTGCGTACCCGTCACCAACTGCCCAAAGAGGTTTCCAATGATCTAAGGTGCCCCAACATTTTTGTTTTCAAAAGCAAAGGACTTTTCTAATAGGTAACCCAATTAATTTCTGATAAAAATGTCAGTTGACTGAAACAATAAATACAGATGTACAAAAACATTCTGGTGAGCCTCTACAATCCCAACAAAATATTTCACAATATATTATATACCTACATTTATAATACATGCACCAACATGTCCCACACTGACAGACAACAGTTATTTCCTGAACAGCAGGAAAAAAATAGTGTTAAAGATTTTGGTCCAATCCTTATGAAGTATTTGAACATTTGAAGTAGTAATCATCCCATCCTTCACCCCAATACACAGAACACAAATAGCAGAACTTTGGGGACTGTTTCTGGAAGTGAATGTAGTCACTACCCACAGCTATTGTTAGAACAGACTTTTTCAGATCACGGCTATTAAGACCAGGAGTCTCAGTACAAGATGCATCGCACGTAGGGTTTGCTGGCAATGCAAAGAGGGTCCACGAAACATCACCAGTCCCTAGACAGTTTGGTGTTTTGATCCCTCTTTGGGGGCGCTGGAGGTGGGCCCCTCCGTAAGGTTGCATAGCCTAATATATGACTACCTCCAAAGCTGCTGGTCTTCTGCTTGTCTGTGAGAAGTTCTGGTGGGGGCGGGGGCAAAGCCATGTCATCCATTGTGGCAGTCGGCTCAGCTCTGGATATCCGGGCAGAGGAGAGGGAGCTATGTCGAGTGATGGACTTACGCTGCAGAGTCCTATTCAGATCAGCCAGGAAACCAGGCTGAACGCTAAGGCCAGACTTGGGCGAGGTGGGCACTTGTGCACTGACAACCACCTGCGTCTCCACCATTTCTGCTTGCGTGAGACGGGTGCTGTCATTGCGTTTGGGACGTGTTGGAGGGGGAGCTTTCTTCCCAGATGACTTAGACCACGGCTGGGGTTGGGGATTGACCACAGCGACCTTTGGCGAGGTATTGCCTGAAAAAACAGCAGGGATTTCTACGGGTGGCAAAGGAAGATCGATTTCAGGTGGCGGAGGGGGAAAGTCTGAATCTGACGGAGGAGAAGGAAATTCCTCTACGGCACCTTTGCCCGGTGCTCCCGTGGCAGGGGCTTTCGCTGAAATGCCTGCCTGCTGGAGAACGACAGGCAGACAGAGCTTTCCTGGCTTTGGAGGAGCCGCGGGTGGAGTTGGGGATTCCTTGGCAGGAGACCCGGAGGGCTCGGGGGCATGTGCAAATTTGCTAACCAAGATGTCCACTGAAGGCCTCTTAGGTTCACTGGACTCGACCGAGCTATTCGATTTTATACTGGAATTGCGCTGAGGTGTAGGAGGAGGCTTCTTTCCTCCAGGACTGGAAGTCTTACTAGCTTTTTTGACTGGAGAACCTCCTGACTTATCTGGGGCAGGGGAGACGATCAGTGGAGAAGAGGAAGGAGAAGGTGGAGGAGGGAATGCTAGGCTACTTTCAGGGGGTGGAGGAGGAAAATCAGGGGAGGGAACAGAGGTCGGCTGCCATTTTGGCTTGGCTTTTACTGCTGGAGGAGACTGGGGTGGTACACTCAGAGGGGCAGGTTTTAAAGGCTGGGGCTCTGAAACTGGCATGGGAGGGGGAGGAAAATGGCTGGCTATTTGCTTCACAACTGATGGCACAGGCGACTGTGGGGAGGGAGGAAGCTTACTAGAGTGGTTCTGCTGCTTGGGCAGAGTGGGTGGAGGAGACGGACCTAGCGAGGCAGGAGATAATGGCATTTGTGGGGTGGTGAAACTTGGCTGCTTCTTTACTGAAGGAACAGGAGGTGGTGGCACTGGATGTGGCGCAACTGCCGAGATGGATTTTGCACTGTTTTGTGTAGGGAGAGTCACAGCAGGCTTAGGAGGAGCTTGTGGAGGTGGAGGTGCTGGCACAGACGGAGGTGGCGGTGGCAAAGCTGCAGACTGAACGATGTTCTGATGAACCTGATGAATTTTGAGAGGGGGAGCAGGAGGAGGTGGGGGTGTGAACTGTGGTACCGAAGGGTTGGAAGGCACAGGTTTCATGAGCTGAGCCATTGCGGATCCTGGGGTAGGGGGAGGAGGAG